AAGATATTTGTTTTTGCGTTTATGGAAATAAACCAGATAAATGCGGGAGGAGCAAGACGGTCGACTGACTATTATAATATATCTCGGATTTATTTCTCTTTTGTCACAGCTAATTTCAATTCTAATTGTCTGGCTGGGATGATATTTACGGAAATAATGCAATGATATGCAAATGACATGCAAATTGAGTATCGTCAACACCATCATTATTTAAATGTTTGACATCACTGTGTGAAGTGGTTTCATCGTGACGTCTTCATAGAGAGATTATGGTCTCATAATGCCTTACTGAGTATAATTTTAGTCCATTCATTTTATTTTTACATTTGTTCTAAAATAAGGTTGATGCATGCGCAAACTAGTATCACGTTTTTGTCGTATTGAAATACACATGATGAAATAAAGGGATATGAGCAGTCAGCTCTGAGAACATTACTTGTATGTCAACACGTTTCTTAAAAGTTGAGTATTTGCCGAAGACACTAGTGTATGATATATATTATCTAAATTTAACCGTGAAGCCTAATTATCATTATATTGAGCAAAATTAAAATGATTACGTAATTAAAACTAGTCCCCAGTGCCAATTTAGTACAGGTAGTTATCATCATTTCCCAAGGACAGAAAGATACAACTTAACTCGAGAAAATACCACATAATACTGTTAAATGACTGAAACTTCGTCGATTAGCAATGAATATAGGCTTGCTCTATTGATTTTGCTCTCCATGTCCATATGCGGTCAATCCCTCGACGAATAAAGATAAATTTGACTGAATTATCGGCCGCAGAGGGATGCAGTCAGCATCGCCGCGATATGCTTGTAGATCTGTAATTTAATGAACTCCTAAGATGAGATGCAGTTATCGACAGAATTATTTCTGTTCTATCTGAGTCTGTGAAACCGCGTTTGTAATACAAACTCAGGTGAGCGAGCTGGGAAGGAGTTTGTTGTATCTGGTCGATCGCTATATTGTGATCAGGGTGTCTGTTCAAGGTATCCACCTCAAGCAAAATATTATATAAGACTAATTTCAAGATGAACGAACTCCACCAGTGTTGACGTATACATTTCTGTTTATTCGTCCTCTGTGTATTGTGCATTTTCTTTTAGACGTTATGATTTCAACAGATAAGTTTATATAAACAGATGTTTTATTAGAAAACGCTTTTACAAAAAAAGGCGTGCATGACAACATTACCAGGTAATTATACTGACTCATTGACCCGCTAAACGGATTTGTTGACTTTATGGGGAGACAAATAAGTAGTATTATTACCCACCATTAACTTGATACTATACATAAAATAAAACAAACATCCGGGAGATTGAGGTACGTAACACGGTTGTTATGACGACGGTTACATATATGTATCTAGGAAAGACACGTTTTAATGAGCATCACCGGCAATCATGTCATACGAGTACATGCACGAAGATCATCCGTGTCGTATACCGGTCGAGGCTTCTTCAGAAGACGTTTTATGTTCACAACCGGGAGTCGTGCGCACACCATTACCAAATAACCCTCGCGCACAATAATGTAACTCCATACTTATGCCGTACATTGTCGTTTCTTGCACGCACAAAACACGAGCAGTGAATCTAAAATAGTGTGACTTGGTAGGAAGAAACTGTGTCCCGAATAAACATCGAGGGCCAAGGTTAATGCTTGTCAATGTCAGGGGGTCAACTGACATCATGTCAATGTCACAGGGGGTCAACTGCATGAAAAGTCAGGGGTATCAGAAAAAAATACAAACGTTTGCATTAAACGAATGAAGAAAACAGACCAACCTAAAAAGTGTGAGATATATTACTCGAATAAACCCCATCGGAAATATTGAATATATAATTTACAAGAATAATAGTATCATTCATTATCTATTACATATTGCAATAGGGTAGGAAAAAAGGATTATATTTAAGTTGGAACCGCGATACCTAGGGCGAAGTTAATTAATAGGATCACTGTGTAATGTATTCATTGGAATGCCATTACTGACGGAAACAAATCAGATCATCTATCCATTCACTATATCTACAATGTACATCCCCTGATAGCGTCCGGAAAGCTTCAGTTTGCTTCCAGCATGGGTCTGATCTGCCGATGATTTGGTCTTTACGGTTGTACGAGCTCAGGAGCAGCTTCATGCTACCAAAGGTATAATGATGTACAATTGTGCTTTAGTGGAAAAAATACATTTCTTTGACATCAAGTTGCACGTATCAG